CTAAGGAGCTGAACAGAACGTTTTCAAAAGAAGAAGTAAAGATGGCTATGAAACATCTCAAAAGATGTTCAACATCACTAATAATTAGGGAAATACAAATTAAAACCACTTTAAGATTTCATCTTACCCCAGGTCAGACTGGTTAAGATCAAGAGAACAAATGATAACCAAATGTTGGAGAGGATGTGGGGAAAGGGGAACACTCATCCACTGCTGGTGGGGCTGCAAGCTGGTTCAACCCCTATGGAAAGCAGTGTGGAGAACTCTTAAAAAACTATAAATGAACCTACCACTCCTTGGCATATACCCAAAGAACTCATCCTCTCCCAGAGACACTTGTACATCCATGTTTGTTGCTGCTCTTTTCACAATAGGTAAGAGATGGAAGCAACCTACGTGTCCCTCAATTGACGAGTGAATAATGAAAATGTGCTTCATTTATATGATGGAGTTTTACTCAGCAGTAAAGAAAGATGAAATCATGAAATTTGCAGGTAAATGGATGGAACTAGAAACTGTTATACTAAGTGAAGTAACACAGACTCAGAAAAAAAATCGACATATGTTCTCCCTCATATGTGGATCCTAGGATCAGACTCTGATAAATATGTATGCAAACAGACATAACTTTCCTTTCCAGGATAATGGAAAGGAAACAGGGAGGTAAAGGAAAACAAAGAACCTGAAAGAGAAGAACAGTAGGAAACAGGCTTTAATAAGGGAGATATGGATAAAAATTAGGGAGGGAGGAGGGAAGGGTATCCAAGGAACCTAGGGGATAAAGGGAAAGAAGGAGCTCAAGAGAGTAGGACCATAGGAGAAGGGCATTATTATGGAAGAAAGGGGGGAAATGGGGGCACCTTAATTGGGGAAATCATAATGGAGGGGTGAGACAATGCAAGAAATAAACAATGCCTAGCTAGTTTTAAAAACCAGAGGGAACCATATTACTCCAGCAACCTACTGACAAATTATACATAGCAGATCAAGAAATATATGTCTTGGTAAGGTTTATCTGAGAACAACTGGTCTTTGCCCAAGATTTATCTACATGACACACAGTAATTAAAAGTACCAGACTGGTGGAACTAACCTTCTTGGATGTTTAACAGACATACTCTGAGGCCTATAATAATTTGGTCAGAGGGACATAAAGGACAGTTTTTGCTCCTTGCCCTCCTAGGTCGACTAGTTCAAGAGGACTATGAGCATCTCTCAAAATGTCCTGTAATTGTGTTGGGCAACCTGTCCTCTTGATCAAGGAGGCTGAGGAAACCCCACCAGACGGACTTGAAGCAGTGTCCAGTCTAGAAAGAGGAGGGTCAACACAGAAGAATCATTTCCTCCATGCTTCCAAGTGAAGCCAGGCGTGGTCGAGCAGGACCTTTGACTTCACATAGACGGAACTGGTAAAAGAAAGGAGCCAGGGGCTTCTCCCAAGCCCACGTAACCCCTGAGGAACAGATCCTCAATCAATCTTAAGAGTAAAAATAAATTGGTATATCTGGGCCAACTGTATAGCCTTAAACACCCAAAAGGAAAGTATAATCAAAGATTAAATGGGCCAATATAATTTTTTAAGAGTTCATATATAGCCAAAGGCTACATGACAAGCAACAATGCCAGATAGGAGATAATTTCTTTGGAGCTGTTGGCCAGAGTGGCCAAAGGGACTCCCAGATAGTAACCCAGTATAGAATTGGGAAAATGAACAGCAGACCCCAATCTTATCTAAAGGAATATCGACAACTGATTGCTGCTATATGAT